TGTGTGGTATGTGTGTGTATATGGTGTGTTAGTGTGTGGTGTGTGTGCTTGTGTATGGTGTGATTGTGGTGTGTGTGTGTGGTATGTGTGTGTGTGTATATGGTGTGTTGGTGTGTGTGGTATGTGTGTGTGCTTGTGTATGGTGGCTTTGTGTGTGGTGTGTGTGTGTGTGTGTGTGTGTGTGTGTGGACTAGCTCAGGCCTGTGCAAGGGAGCTGCTCGACTTTATTGCTTTTTCCTGGCGGGGAGCCAGAGCTAGCTAAGGTACCATCCAGGCAGCTATAAACAATCAGGGTGAGCCTTTGTTCTGCTGGAAAGAGCAGCCGGGAAAATTCTAGACATAACATCCTCCATACCTTCTCTCACGTGCCATCCAGTCTGAACTTGCTTGCATTGGGTCTTTGCTCCTTTTTAAAAAAGCGTTTCGGAGACAAGCAGGCCTTCAGCTCACTCGTTGACACTAGTCTTCCCAGAACACGGGCAGAATCCCTCCTTGTGGTCAGGGTCTGACCATGTCACCCTGGACCCTCCCTTAGTCACCTCCACTGGCCTCCTGTCACCTCCACGTTCAAACATAAAATCCCCTGTTTGCCTTTGAAAGCTCTTCCCAACAGGGCCCCTTCTTGCCATTCCGGTTTCCTAAGGCTAAGACTTTATTCCTCTGTGATACAATAAATAGCTCTGGCTTCCTGGCTGTCCTGGCTGTCCCCTGTCTCCAGAAGGTTCTCCCTCTTCATCTCTGCCTCCCAGCTTCCCTGGGATACAAAAAGAGGCAAAAGACAGCCCCTGCCCTCAAGGGGCTCACAGTCTAATGGGAGAGACAACAGACAAAAATGTACAAATAAATTATAGACAGGAGAAATAGGAAGTCATAGGGTGGGGGTGGGGCATTAGAATCACAAGGGGCTGGGGAAGGCTTCCTGGAGGAGGTGGGGTTTTAGTAGGAGGCAGAAAAGGGTAAATTACATTACAGGAAAAGACACAAAAACCTATTAAAGCAGGGAGAAAGAAGGGACGGAGATGAGCATTGGTTGAACCTTACTCTCATCAGATTTGGCTCAAGAAGAGAATAACATAATCAGTTAGGTACTAATATTGATAGACTTAGCCCTTCTCAGCAATGCAAGGATCTAAGCCATCTCCAAAGATCTCATGATGGAAAATGCTATCCACATCCAAGGAAAGAACTATGGAGTTTGAATGCATATCGAAGCATGATATTTGCTGTTTTTTTTCTTCTGTTGTGTTTTGTTTCCTCTTTCTGGTGATTCCTCCTATTGGTTCTAATTCTTACTTACAACATCACTAATGTGAAAATATGTTTGATAGGAATGTATATGTATAGCCTATATCAGATTGCATGCCATTTTCGGGAGGGAGGTGAGGAGGGAGGGGGAGAAAAATTTTAAACTGAAAAGCTTATGGAAGTGATTGTTGATAAATCAAAATAAATTAATTTTAAAAGTTTTTTTTTTAAAAAAAGAAAGTAAATGCAGACCAAGAAAACAAAGTTAGAAAAATATGCTTTGAGCTGTATTAAGAATCCATCAATTCTTTCTCTGGAAATGGATAGAATTTTTCATCATAAGTCCTTTGGAATTGTCTTAGATTATTGTATTTCTGAGAATAGCTAAGTCATTCACAGTTGATCATGATATAATATTACTGTGACTGTGTACAATATTTTCCTGGTTCTGCTCATTTCACTTTGCATCAGTTCATGTAAGTCATTCCAGGTTTTTCTCAAAACATCCTGCAGAGCACTTTTTCACATGGTTGTGGACAGGTTGTATTTCATTCTTTTAAAACCTATTGTTCATATCCTTTAACCATTTATCTATTGGGAAGGGTTCTTAGTTTTAAAGATTTAAAACAGTTCCTTATATGTCTTGGCTATGAGATCTTTATCAAAGAAACTTACTGCAAAGAATTTTTCCCGTTACCTGTTTCCTTTCTCGTTATAACTACATTAGATTTGTTTGTACAAACCCTTTGTAATTTAATATAATCAAAGTTGTCCATTTTCTCTTTCATCATCCTCTTTATCACTTGCTTAGTCACGGACTCTTCCCCTATCCAAAGATCAGAAAGGGAATTTCTTCCTTCATCCTCCAATTCATTGATGATTTGACCTTTCATATTTAGGTCCCGTATCCATTAGGAGCTTCTCTTGGTGTATGGTGTGAGGTGTTAGTCTAACCCTCATTTCTGCCAGTTTTATCTTAACTGCTGTCCAGTTTTCCCAGCATTCTTTGTCAAACAGTGATTCCTTTTCCAAGTAACTTTGGTCTTTGGATTTACTGACCACTCTGCTTCTGTTGATCCTTGCTTCTGTACGTTCTGCACCTAATCTGTTTCACAGATTGGATGTCCTTTTTAAATCAGTATCAAATATGGCTTTAATGATGAATGTGTTATAGTATGGTTTGAGATCTGGTACTGATCAGCCCCATTTCCCTCTTTCTCATTTATTACCCCTTGAGATCCTTTTTTTTTTAGAGGCAGTAAGGGTTGAGTGACTTGCCCAAGGTCACACAGCTAGAAGTGCCTGAGGCCGGATTTGAACTCAGGTCCTCCTGACTCCAGGCCAGTGCTGTATCCACTGAGCAGCTGTAGGGATTTTCTTGGCCCCCCCCCTTAACTTAGCCTGGTTTTTGTGTTCTGCCTCCTACCTACTCCCATGAACTCTTCCTATTTATTTTGTATTTACTTGTTGTTTCTTACTGGTGGAATGTAAGCTCCTTGAGGGCAGGGGTTGTTTCTTGCTGTTTTGTATCCCCGGTAACACTTGTTGAATTAAATTGAACCAAATATATACCCTCCTGTTGATAGTGTATGGTTGCCAGCCATGTAGCCATGACCTTCCAAGAACCAAAGCTGCAGGGAAAGCAGAGTTCAAAAGATCAGTGATGTGTGATGTATGTGAACAAGTTGCCATGGAGGACTGAGGGTGATGTGGCTTGAGAAACGGCATCAGGACCAGGATGGAGGTGGGCTGGCTGGCTAGGGAGTGACAGAGAAGGGAAAGGGTAGACAATCCCAACGTTGCCCCAGTATCCATGCTCTTACAAGGACCAGCAGAAGGCCTCCAGCATATTGGATGGGTCTTCTGTAAGGAGTGCAGAAAGAGAGAAGCAAGAAGTACCTTGGATGAAAAGGCAGAGACCTATTATCATGTCTGCTGGTGGAAGGAGTCCCAGGGATGAGATCACCATCAGTTCCCTCCCAATCAATTCATTTCA